AAGACAACGAACTAAACGAACGAAGGAAATGTAAAGAAACAAGAATTCTTTACAACAGTTCAATTATACCACAAATCACAACATAACATGAGAAGTTGACAACTGAATTTTACTTCAATCATTCATTCTATATCTCGAAAAAGAAAATTGCTGGGATTCGTACCATCGTCTGTTGATCAATTCAGTAAATTTTTTAAGGAAAAGTATGCAATGGAATGTGGTGTCTGAATGAAGCAAATGGAGCTCAAAAACGATGTCACCAGTCAATACGTGGTTCTTGCCTTAACCGATGGAAAATAAAATTTCAAGTAGACTCGAGCTGAATGAAATTACCACGAGTTTAACATAAAATGACAAGCATGATCTTGACGGCTTTTATTTCCTTTTGGAATGCTCCAATTTTGAATTTTAAAGGATGTTCGGCCAGTGTGTAGGAAATCTATCGCACCAAATTATTTATTTATATAGTTTCGGAATGACTCACACTAATCTGTGCGTAATGTTCGAGTTAATGTAGGTCTGATCGCAATTTCCATTACATTCGGCGGATCAATTACTCAGAAATCAAATTTGTTGGGAATGATCAAACAGATAAGTAGTTACTGTTGAGAGGAACATATTCAGTAAAGAAACACTTCTCGATGTCTAGGTTAAATTCACTTACGTAGAATGAGACAATGGAACAGATTCATTCTTTTCGAATGAAGACTTCAGCAACGGTCATCTATCAAGTTCCTCAATCAACCCGTAACTAGTTCAGGCAGGAAGATTGTCAAATCGGAATTACACCAGAAAAATCTGCGCCGTTCTTTTACGATTTACGATTCGCATTGATCAAATTGGCGATAAGTGACTTCCCGGACATTCATTCACCTAATCCAAATCCATATCAAAATTCATTTCTGCTGATGTTTGCGGACCTTTGCTATCATTCGGTTCAGTCTTTTTCGGCGGCTGACTGGATGACGATTTGAAGTGAGATGTTGAATTTGATGAAGCACTCGCTGAATGTGCTGTGGACCTAGTGGCACCGACTCTATCACTATCATCGTCATTAGCATCCATAAAGGAAGCGGAATTATCCAGATCATCATCACTATCGGAATCATCCGCAAAAGAGGATCCGGTCGGCTCGTTACTACCGAGCAAACCTCAAAATTTATCACCATATAATTTGTTCAATGAGGGCAGAGCTATCAGCAGCTTTTCGGCTGACTCGCACTGACTTTCTTTCAGTATATGAACAACTTTTCCATCTAACAACAATAACTATTACAAACTCAACCAGAAATATTCCGTCATTTCACAGTCATGAACAGTTCTACGATGGAACAGAGAATTCTTGAAACAGCTGTGTGAAGAAATGTAAAAACTGTCAAAGGAAACGTGAATGATTCAAATTGTAACCTTTAAGGAGAGTACCAAATAAACCAGAACTCATAGACTCTTGTGGTGGTGGCAGTCCGAAATAAATTTGTCCAATTTTATCCAAATAATCACGATAGGATGGATCACGCTCCAAGCATTTCTGATACTGTTCGACTATAATTGAAAAATACGTTACCTGAAATACGGAAGAATTCTTTAAAAATGAATGACAATTGATCTACAGTGCATACTGCATTTTCCCCTTCTGACTCCTCGTTTTCATCGCTATCTCAGCACATCACTAACTTTAATCAATCCTCAATGATCTTCAGTGTTAATCATCATTTGAATTATTTCTGAACAAATACTCAGAAAGATGTATGTTGATTCCAAAAATGCACCCTGACAAAGTAGTCAATAAAACGATGAAACAAGCCCAAATCACATACATTCCGCAACTGGACACATAACGTCAACAACCACACAAAATTAAGCAAAGGCAACTGATAAGGTGCTTCTGAAGCGATCTCGGGATGCTTTTCGCAATAAAGTTGCAGCATAACACACGCCATCTTAGAACGACGACTGCACAAAACCTGAATTATCAATCATCATAACAAATTAATAATAACTCGAAAAGAAAATTGTCGGTTCTGCAGACAGTATGACCTCGGGTCAACAATTTAAGTAGATTCTCAAATGATAAAACAAAACTGTAGACATCGAACACGAACCTGTAAGACGGCTTGCGCAATAAACAAATCCTTTTCACTTTTAAAACCACAATGTTGCTGGAAATCGATAAGGAATGATGCGAATCCCTGTAAACGAAACAGAACTGAAGAAAAAATCTTTCGAAACACCTTAGAACAACGGCTTATGAAGCTCAGCAACTCCATAAACAAAAAAATCGAGAAATTGAACTTTCATCCGATTTCTTGATCAGTTTCACTCATCTCAATAATGACACCGGAGCAAACTCAGAATGGTGAGCAGCTGGAATGTCGTTCTCAATATAAGGCAGTACAAAAATTTGTATCGTATGTGCACGGTTAAGAATACCAGGAACACTGTTTCCTAATTTCGTTGACGAGAACCTATTGTCAGGACAGAGGGGAATCAGCACCTAATGTAAGATGGTATATCAAAAAGTTAAAATGTAATCGAAAGAACACTAAAAATGCATTAGCCGAGCGATCGAAACAAATACCTCTGAATCGTTACTCAAGAAAAAATGATTCCTCGCAGCCACATATTTATTCTCATGCCAAAGCACTTTGGCCACACGTCTGAAAAAAAACATCAATGAATGAATTGACTAACATTCAGCAGAACGAATAAATTCGAAAGAAAAAACCCTCAAAACAGTTGATGATTGTGACAACTTACGCATGAAAATCGGGATGACCCTTCTCTCGATGGCGTTTCTTCTCGCCAACGGCCATTGTCCACTTGAGGGCACGAGAGAGGAACTCATTACGTCTGTCCATCCGACTACCACCTGTGGATGTTTCCTTCTCCAGGAGGGGTGGTAAACGAGTGAAAAGCTGAAATAAATTATTCAAATTTTATGGATCATTCCAGTAGTATTGAACGGATATTTATTCGATCTGAATTATGCAATAAGTTATGGATGAATCTGAATTTGCAAGTATTCTGTAATTTGCCAATGATTTGTTGCTTGTTGTGTTTTGTAGTTTGTTGTTGTAATTTGTCAAATAATTTGCAATTTGCAATTATGTAAGTAATACCATCAGAGAAGGTTAACAAGAATAGTAGTGAGGAGGATCAGATACAATTAATTTTGACTTGCAACAGTTTGGAAGTGATACTGCAAACCGTTACAGTGTCAAACAAATGTCGAAGTCAGCAAAATGACGAGTTACGTACCTGCTCGAATCGATCAAGCAAAGATGATGAGACGGGCATATTTGATTTTTGCAGGCTTTCGATGAAAAGTTCAGCGAGATCTATGGCACTTGTTGGTTCGTTTACTGAAAATTGCTTGCATGAAACGAAAAAATTTCATAGGTAGGCACGATGAATCATCAATTTCACTAATGGATACAGCGAACTGTGGCTTAAAAAAAAGAACATTCGACTCGTAGACGAGCAACTGGCCTTACCTAAGAGCAATAATGAGTTTTCAAACCAGTGAACAGTACTTACTCCAGTGGAAGCAAAGAGTGAACAGACGAAAGCAATGAATAAAATAATTCATAAAAACTGACCATCTAAGAGTTTGATTGCACCATTATAGAGTAAATCTTGGAGTTCATGCCATTTTCCCTGAGAAGACATACGATGGTAAAGGGTTCGATAAATCTGATTCGCCTCATAATAATCACCCGACTCTAAACAGCTCGACAACTTCTTTTCAAGTCGATTCATCTGAAACGATCATATGGTACAGCTTATAACTCATGTCTTGAAACAAGGATTTATAACATGTTTATAACGAGATGAAACGGAAACGAACTTCATTTCTCATGCTTCGGCACACACTTTCCATGAATTTCAACTGAAGTTTTTTCATTTCCCAATACAAACATTTAGATTCATAAATCGATGTTGCGAAATAAACATGATAACCGAACGGAATTTGGTTCGGGTCGAAAGTCTACTAAACACATTGTATAAGATTCCTAAATCGGGTATTCTGACCAAAAATCCTTGGTAAATAGTAAAATCAGCGCCTAGTATTACAACATTTTCGGAATCTTGGTAAGCGATTGGTTCGGTCATGTTCGGGCAGATGCTTACCATTGCTAATGCACGAACATTCAGTAAAGCGATCAATCAAGCAATAAAATGAATTACTGGAATTAATAAACACAAAGCGTAAAAGTTCTCGTTGATGATTACAATTCCTATTAATAATCAAAGGTCACGTTCCAGGATGAGAGCAAGACAGAATGTCTCCGTCGGGATTCAAGAGGGATTCCCTTTCTCAATATAGAAACATCGTTTTGCATCTAAACGTACCTACTACAACACGATTAGGTTCACCTGGTATCAAAAATGGGTAATTGTAAAGTTTCAGTTGATAAAGTAAAAACTGCATTTTGTTCGTTCACATTCGCAGTCGAATGTGCAGTGCAGTTAGAGCACATCAGGAAGAGTTCGCAATAGTAGTATACGAGCAATATGAATGAATATATCGCATGCAATGATGCAAATTCAGGCTAAAACAATGTGCACGGAAATGAGAGCATTATGGCCAATAGTGTTACAAACGTTTGATAGCCTGGCCAATCCACATGATTCCGGTAACAATGATACAAGTTAATGAGCGAGTTTCTGCTCGAATTATTCAATGAGATCAAGCAAATGTAAATGAGTTCATTTGAATCGGATCCGAAATGATATTATGCAGAGTAATTCGAGATGTTGAATGGAAAATAATAATTTATAGGGTTGGAGAATCAGTTATAAGTTGAAGTCTAGAGAATGAGTTTGTTGTACTGTGCAAAGCGATTGCGATGATGACTAGCTTGGTAGAATAATTTTGGAATTATTTTGCCATCTTATTCAGCATCTAGAGTTTCTTTGTACACTGCAGCCAATACATTTAGTTAACTTGCGATCATAATTAGTCAAACAATTAATCACACGTAAAGTTATTTTACCAACCTATTCAGCATTCTCAATTGTTTTGCACAATACAGTAAATACATTCTGTTGACTTGAATTAGAGCTGATTGTACAGTCAAAAGACATATTTTTAGAAAGCCGAGAGTGATCGATCTAAGGGTACCAAAATATTAGCATGGTTATTGGGAATTTTCAGGAACAGTGTTATATATGTTGTTGGGCGATTTGTAGATGATTTTCTGAAGCTATCTGTGAAGGATAATGTTGTGATAAACTGGTGATCTCTTGTTCATTGTTTACGGTTTCTTGNGGACCAGCAACACAGTCAACATCACAAACAGTCCCAATCAGGAACACAAACAATCTGAAGTAGCTGAACCGCTTATTTCAATACTGCATTGATCAACATACATGAGGCTAGCAATATTAGGGTCACCGTATTCAACCTAACGGTACATTCAGATTTGCTCAGTAACATGGTGATTTCTTCACACAGTCGGATTCCCCAGATTCTCCACTTTCTGAAAAATATATATGTTGTCGGACGATTTTGCTTACTTTTAGAGAAATAGCTGATTTTCTGAAGGCATCTCAATTGTTCGGCAGCGCTCGTTTCAATACACTGTATCTCTGTTGATCAATGCGTACATCAGCTTAGTAGTATCACGGTTACTATCTTCAAACTATCAGTGTTCTCAGCTTTGGCCAGTAACATGGTAATTTCTTCACACCATCAGATTTCCCTGATTCTCTACTTTCCGAAAATCATATATGTTGTCGGGCGATTTTGCTCACTTTCTAAGAAATAACTGATTTTTTGAAGGCATCTCAATTGCTCGGCAGCGCTCAGTTCAATGTACTGTATTTCTGCAGATCAATGTGTGCTTTAGCATAACAGAATTAGAGTCACCATCTTCAAACTAACGGTACTCTCAGGTTTGCTCATTAACATGGTCATTTCTTCACATCTTCGGATTCCCCAGATTCTCCAACATCGAAAAAGTACAGATGTTGTTGGGCGATTATGTTTTCTCCAAGCAAAACTGAGGATCTTTTGAAACCGTCTCACGCAGATAAACCAACCATTTCGATTCATTGTATCTGCATTGATCAATATATATAAGAGGCTAGCAACATTAGGGTCACCATGTTCAAACTAACGGTACTCTCAGGTTTGCCCAGTAACATGGTCATTTCTTCACACAGTCGGATTTTCCAGATTCTCCATTTTCAGAAAAGTATATATGTTGTCGAGCGATTTTGTTTTTCTCATGAAATATTCACGATTTTTTGAAACCATCTCACGAGGCTGAGACGCTCATTTCTATTCACTTTATCTACATTGTTCAATGTATGCTACGACTAATTAGTATTATCAAGATCGCCGTTTTCAGTGTAACCATGCTCTGAGGTTTGCACGGCAGTATATCTTTTTCTCTCTACCATCGGATTGCATTCTTAGGTCCGCCCAATGTCATGCGAGTTCTTCACAGGTTCGAATCGAGGCGGATTTCAGCTTTCTAAAAATCTACATTTTGGCTGGTCACTATCTATCGATTGATTTTAGGTTCAACGCACCGGACCGTAACTGGAAAAAATTCTTAGAAATAGGAACAGCTAGATATTTTTGCTGAATTTTGCTCACATCAGTGGCACTCATTTGATGTTAGAAATGTTTGAAAGGAATTTGCAGTGAAAAAATTCAATTTTAGGAATCATTATTTCGATTTTCTGGGATAAGGAAAAGTGAACTTATAATTAGTGAGAACTAGTCGACACCAACGTGTGGAAAAATAAAAATCGACGACCGCGAGTGAATGAGCGATTTTTATGCAAATGAATGTTTATTTCGTGAGGAGATTATTACAGGTGATTTTAACTGGAGGTTGCTTGTTCTATTAATAAACGATCGTTCAGTGAGAGAAAATCCTTGGAGCAATGAAATCAATGAAATGAATTGTTTTAATAAGATGAGATTCTTCAAATAATGTTCAATGCCTCACACGAATTAGGTCATCATCGCCATTGTCCTATGTCCGCATCCTTCAACGTTTGCATCGATTTTTGTGTGCTTTGAAAAGTGTCGATTATTTATTTCTCCTTTGTTCTCATTGCTTCATAATCTCACCTTGATTAATATAGCCATTAACATTTATTATCTCATCTTTAATAGCCATTCTCACATTCCAGTACATTCATTGTATTGAAAATTGCTCTTAAAGTACTCCCATTCGAAGTACTCCCATTTTTCATTGCATTGGCATGTTTTCAGTACTTCAGTCGTAGTGTTTGGTAAGCAGTGTGACAAAATTGATCATATTGCGGTTATTGAAGTATTATTTTTAATGTAGATGATGCTGGCTTTCGCATTGTTATTAGCTTGCTTTAAGAGCTCTTATATGACTTATTGCAGGATATGTTTCAGATGAGAGTAAACGTTCAAATGAATTTGTAAAAATGTAAAAATGGGCTTGGCTTACTTGAGAAATGCTTTCCTGTAATCTACGAATGTTCATGTAGTTCTGTCCAGCTTCTGCACTGGTGGTGGAAGCCAAATGATTATTTTTGTCAGCTGATAAGTTTCCGTCCTATTATCTCAAATTCGTCCTATCATTTCCTATAATCTCAAGGTTTCGTTCTATAATCTCAAATAATTTCAATAGTAATTCTGCCTAAACATTCTGCCCACACGTTTCATTCATTATCATTTTGTTCTGCTCAACCCACTCATCGAATGCATTTGATCATCTTCAGAATATCACTTTTATTGGACACCTTCATTCATGTGAATTGTTTACGTTTAAGCTGTTTGCGCACCAATTAAGTTGACATTGCAATGTTTGCCACATGATTAGATTTTTCAACGACGGTTGATTCGAATCAAGTTATCAGCTAAAATTATCAGGTATTTCTGAGAAATAATCACGCATAGATTAAAATGTGTTTCAAACTGAAGAGATATTGCTAATTAACAAGTTGAAAAAATTGGCACGTTAGAAATGTTNTTAGCGATGAATGAGGCAAACAAAATCAAATTTTAAACGTCTGGCTAGAGGTGAAAGATTGTGCAACGAATGCATAGAAATTTCCAGCAAGAACTCAAGACTACTGAAGAAATCAGTAGGGAAAAATGAATTCGAGTGAAACGACTCAATAAAATTGAACGTTGTCGGTTGCTATAGTGACCGGAGCAGAGTGCGTTTTCAGCTGAACTCATTCAATAGTTATGGGAAGTTTTTCAATTTTATTGATTCTCGAGAGTTCAATAAACAGGTGATATTTCTAAATATTCGAATGATTTGATGAAGCTTTGCAGTCCACCATGATGATAACGTTGAGCAATTCATAATCTAAGATTTTATGCTAAGATCACTTTGTTTTCATTTTAGCGTTTCGCCTTCACCAGTTTCCTTTATGAGATCATGCAGATGCTAACGTCAATTTATAAATTCCTGATATTCTTAATAACACGGCCCGATGAGAATCGCACACTGTCCCTGGTCGCGCATCCTTGTACAAACAAGCGTTTGATTGCAGGAAATTCCAAAATCACTAACTTCTGCTCATGAGAATTTTATCAACAATTCTATGAAAAATTCATAAACAATGTTTACTTTACTTTGCCTTAACTACATTTCCATTGCTGCTCAACGTTGCGAGCTTAATTTCCTGAGAATTTTTTATCTTTTAATGTGAGTCACAACTTTTTTTGAAACTGGAAATGTCGCAGTCGTTCAAGAGGGTTGCACTAAGTCGTTATCAGTTAGTAAACAAGTACAAAATCGTTTGGAATTCGGCTTCAAATTGGACTTCGAATCAAAGCAGCGATAGTTTTATCATGAATATATTCTCCCGCAAAGCCATAAAATGCTCAGCGAGACCCTCGTGTGAACGCGATCTATCATCAGTGGGCGTCCTTTCTTGCTGGATTGCTTGCATTTTTCCTTCCTGACCCCAAATTTCAGGTTGACTAATAATAATCTTTAATAACTTGACAAATATTTTAATGGCTCAGAAATTCAGAGTTAATAAATCAGAGGTTTCAATTTGTGGGCATATTTTGAACTAGCCCTAATTCAAAAGAGTTCTACAAACATAGTAAATTATGATGTATCATATTATCTGCGTCTAGCTTGTTAAGAACACTGTTTGCTTCATTCATTGATACTGATTTATTTGAGATACTTACTGACCCAACAGTATGATCAAATTTCAAATTAGGTTCATTGAAGAACGCATCGCATTACTATGAGAGTTATCATTGGCTGAGCGTGAAGCATTTCGATGTTGTTCAGTGCTGTGAAAGCAGCCATGAACATGAATCAAAAACGATCAAGATAACATTGCTGATAATAGCGATGATATCATTATCTCAACAATACAGAACTGAAGACGGTGATATGACCATTCAAAGTTTAGCTGCATCAGGATTTCTCATTCTGGTCATCTTCTACCCTGCGACTAAGATATTTTGCCTGTCCCATTTTCAAATTGTCCATTCCGCACGACTTTCCAACATTCAACATTAAACTCAGTTCAATTCCAAGACCAGATTTAGATATGACATTTGCCTGAAGCTCTAACGTAAAGGCTCAGCTCCAGCTTAATGTTTTNGAAATGGAATCTGTCACTTCCGGAAGTGATTCCGACAATAGTGAATCGCTGGAACACACCTAAAATTGGTCATTCGCTGAACATTGATCACCATAATTTATATCCATTTTGACGAAAGTATTTTATTGATGCTTTGATCAGCTATCATAGAGCCAATTGATAAGAAAATTCCCTGTTCATGCAAACGTCAATGAAATGTGTTTCAAATGGGTTGCACTGCTTAGCACGATCAACTACATTTTATGACATAATGAAAAACGTATCAAGAGATTTGCTCAGTGCGTTTGAATTATGTGTGTTTAAATGAAGCAATGCGTGTAATATTCATCGTAAATTATTGCTGAGTTTGACAGGTAAAGTGTTAGATTTGTTGTGTATTGGCGTCCGTCATTTTCTGCCGTAGAATTGAATTAGCACTTGCGGCGTTTCGATGTGGTCGTACTTGACATTGAAATGACAGCGAGCAATCGGTGAGGTGTGACAATAAGATGAACATGGAGCGATTATTGGTGCGCACGCTCAACCTTCATTAAACTTGTTATTTGAGATTTTTGTTTCCGTTTTGAATGTATTGTTTCACTTTCATAATTCGTGATAATATCGTTGTATGCATTCAGTACATTTGTGAGCAGGAAAATGTAGACGAATTAATCTGTGCATTCTGTTAAAACTCTAATGAATTGGGTGTGTTTGGAGAGATTGTCGCTATTGTTGCAATTGTCTAGCTGATTGTTGAGAATTTATTGTAACCATAGTTGCGGGATCAGTTTTTCATTTTGAGAAACATGTGAGTGGTGAAACCATGAGAAATCCTTACTTTAAGAGACAGACACCCAATCATTTTCTCACGAACTTAAGAGCCCAATTTTTTTGCCCGACTGAATGTGGTGACTACTGAGCTATGCCAATGGTTCTCCTGCTTGGAAGCTCCATTACCCCTTTCGATGATCTGGCAGTCCTCATAGCCCCTTTCCTCGCCCCTTGCTGTGAACTTACTAATTCCCCGAATGCAATCCAGGAAAACGGTTGGAAATAAGTATCGAAACAATAATTTTTAGTCTAGAATCCCAAACAAATCAACCACAGCGTAACACGCCTTTGTTACGAACCAAATACCAATGACACAATTAAGTACCTTTTACAAAATTCCAAAAAGATTCATTTGCGAACCAAAAATCCCAATATATGCGAAACACCAAAACTTTTCACTGTTATCGAGTGATAATAATGGATGAATTCAGAAATACTCGCACGTCTCGCACTAAACCAATGATCACCTCTGTCACACCAAATACCTCAATGAATTCTTACTGCTCATAAGAGAAGATATCAGCCAATATATTAAAGAAGTTGGGGAAGTGACTACTTCAAACTGACCTTGGTTCGTGCCTAGACGAGCTGAAGGTACTCAGAAAATATGTTAAAGAAGAGTATTGCTATGCGTGAACCCTGGTTATCGCAATGGCGTTCATCATAACATAGCAACTGCACGAAATTTTGGTTTGCCGACTCTTCATTTTCCCGGAAGGTATTTTATCCTCCTTATGAGAACCACTAATGTGAGCTGAGCTATGTTTGAAAGGTTGTTGGCTGAGATTCAGTCTGAAAGACGGCTTCTGAAACTACGCGCAACCAATTCCAAGTATATTTCGTGCGTTGAACTGTACTCCAGTCTCATTGTTATCAATTTTCGCTGGAAATGAATCTATTCAATGTGCATAAAGATCATTGTAGTGGAGAGTGGTCTGTAGCAATTAGTAAATCATTTGTTCGTAAGCGTGTATTGTAGAATGATCTTCCTTTCATTGGTATATCACTTGATATGGTTATAAATCCTCGAAATTGTTTTCTCCGATTAAGGTTCGATTATTCGGTGCTTTTGCGATCGTTAAAACATTGTTATCACTTGCATTGAATAAAATGAAATTTACGTTGCTCTTTAGCATGAGAACGGCGTCAGCACGAATCAACATTTTCAAGCAATAATGTTTATTATTTCAGCGTATTCGAGTAGGGCAACCGACCGACCTCCAACTAAAAATGTCTAACGTAACACTTCGAGATTTCGTCTGTGAATACGTCAACCCTATTTACATCGACAACTCAAATATGAAAATCGTTTACATTGTTCAGATGCCATTTGGTATAATTGGAATGCTGTGTGCGTCATTGCTAACGCTTTCTGTTTTCTTCAATAAAATTCTTCACTTCAACGTTCGCCTCACACTAATGAGCTTCTCAATTGCACTCTTGATTGCTAATGTTGGTGAGTATTTCAATTGTTTTTTAGCGCCTCAAGAAATACTTTATGGGAGTGTGATTTATAACAGCAAATCTGTTCATTTTGAACTGTAAATCTGAAGAAAGAGAGATTTTCAGAGGTTCAAATGTGGTGATAATTATAATGAGATACAGTGATAAATTCTGTGTGGGCTTAGGCAAGGCTGAGACTCATGCCGAGTTGTGATTTCTATTGAACCAATGGATGGTCCTTCGGTATAAGTCTCCACTTAAATGCAATTCACCGATAATTGCCAATTGCAATTTAACGATCATCAAAATGTCACAGCAACATTCCCTAGCCGCAAGCTCGGAACACTTCTTGCTTGTAAGTGTCACAAGCTGCGCAAGCAGAAAGCGTGATTCGATCGGTGTGAGAGGCGCCTCTGGATCGATGTTACTGAATGAAAGTGCTGCAAAAAATATGATTAAAACAAAATGAATAAATCTCAACGTGATAGATGAGCTCTCTCATCTATTGCATTTGTATCACGCATTTGGGCCTTTCAATTTTTGTGTCCTTTGGAAATATTTATAGTGTCCTTTGAGCGCATCTCATTCGGTTAACGCAATAAACAACTAATTGTTAGATTGATAAATGGCTATATGATAAAACAGAATGAACGAACTTTCGGGGATTGCATAAGAGGAAAAGGTCGATGAACAAATGAGGAAAACATGCGAGAGTGCATCCGGCTTGAGGCAAAACCAAAGGTTGGATTGTTTCCTGCGAAGAGCCTACTGATAGGTGGACTGATGTATGGGTGGTTTCCAGTCAGGCATCGTTTACTTATTTTCAGCGAATTGCAATCAGTTAAATACATTGTTGATGCCAAAGGTCTCCATAGGGGAGAAATCACCCATTTTTGGGGAATTTGGAGGTGTCAGGTGGTAGTGGAGGGGATCAGGAAATTAGTTATAACGTTATGCGAGGAAACAGTAAATCATTGTAGCGGAAGGGAGAGGGTATAATAACGCCCCGCTGTCAGATCATCGAAGGAGGGAGCAGTGGAGCACTCGAGCATGAGGACTACGGCTTTATACTTATATTCGTTCATTAAAATCATCTCAACGCGTCGCAGACACTGTATACATGAGACACAGTAATTTTCGAGAATACAATATCAATATAATAATACAATAATACAAAAACTTCAATACATCAATACAATACAATACAACAATTACAACCATACAATATCAATACACGACAGAATGTATCATGAAACTTATTCTCGTAAAGTAGGAACGGCTGATGAAAAGTTATTTCGCTCAGGTATTGGGGGGAATTTGTGAGTAGAATGCAATATGCATATTTTTGCTTGATTACAGATCATTCTTCGCGTAAGTAAGTTCTTATGCTATATGGTTTCAACTGCACAAACCGTTCGGGTCAACGCCCTAGCCACGATGAACAATATCGTGAAATTTCATATTTTCAGGTATAGTGCTGAGCTCAGCGTATCATTTGCTGTCCATATTCTATCGTTCACCTGCCAATCGATGTCAGTGGTTGACATACATGAAATCCGATTGCTTAGGTATGCTTTTGATTGAATATGAATCGTCAACAGTTTGCCAGCTAGAATCATTTGCTGTTTACGGTAGCATTATTTCATGTGAAAGTCACCAGTACCATTAGCATGAACACCACTGATTCAAGCAGTTATTTTGATGTAATTGACCATATTTCTTTGAACTCCTCATGCTTTCGTTCTGTTTCGTTCTGATGCAATTATATTTATACGTAATATAATATAATTGCATCAGAACGAAAACATGAGGAGTTCAAAGAAATATGGTCAATTCATTTTTTAGGTCAGCTCATATTTCATTCCTATATTTGAAAGTTGGCTTTGAAATCCGAGAGTTATTCCTTTATCTCGTTTAATTTCATTTCATTTATTATCGATAACTTAATAATGCCTCAACGTTAAGTATTCTACTGTAATTGATGGGATTATTTCACATAATTTTAAAAAAATTTAAACAAATTTCACGATTAATTTTTCAAACCCATTTGAAATTCCCAATGCAATGCATTAGTTACAGTAATTTTACCATAATTCCAATAATAAGTGAATGCAATTGTAATTTGATCGCTACAAGATCACAATGCATCCCGTTTGCAAGACAGGGCTACTTTATGGTAGATTATTAGGTGTTTAAAAGTTTTTTGCCGTTTTCAGCATCCTTTTCGATATTCAGTCGAGTTCCACCGCCTTATTACTTTTCAATATTGTCGAACCTTTTATTATGTTCCCCTCTAACTATTTTGAATATCGCTGGATTTGTTTCACTTGTTTTGAGTTTCTGGAAACAAAATTTCTTTTGGGGGGATTCGTTTTGATCAATATTGACTTTAAAAAAATTGATCAAGGATTTCAACGGATTGTCCTAAAATTGTTTTGAGAAATTGTTGAAATAGTTTTCAAAAAGATTGAGATGCCTGTTCCATTATTTAGATGGAAAGGACAATTGTTGCTAAAAAAATTGTTAAAGGACAATTTTTTGTTAAAGTCATTATGTAAATGGAAAGGACAATTATTATTTAAAAAATTGCTAAAGGACAATTTTTCGTCAAAAACACCTGTGATATCCCTTTCAAGAGAGCCATATGAGAAGTTTCATTACTTCCTAAGATTGTTGATAAGGATTACAGCTGCGCATTGTTTATGAGCTTAAAGTGAAGAATAAAAAGATGAAGATAATGTGAGGAGCATTCTATTGCAGCTTTACGAAACGTCTACAACGTTGGTGTGACAGTGTTGCTGACTTCGACGCTGTTCCTGTCCATTGAACGAATCATTGCAACACTTCTCTATCGAACATATGAAAAACATCAGAAACAGTGGATCGGTATACTCATTGCTGTAATACAGGTCCAATGATTACCTACCATTTTGTTTTGCATTATTCACCATATGCAACTAATTTATGATTCGTACTGGTTGATTTGATTTATGCAGATCTCAATGAACATTTTAAAGTCTAGCTGAGTGGCAGTCTATCGTAGGATTAGAAATGTTTCACAGCTACGATGGAAAGATCTTTTGAAGCAAATTAAGTGATAGTAAACTAGCAGTCACCAAATGGAAGCGATGACACTGTAGCCGGTATGTTTGTCGAGCACAAAAATGTGAAATGAGGCCTGAGGTTCTATGAGGAGTTGGAGGATTTATGTGAAACGAAGATAGCTGTTTCTCTTTATAGTGGACATTCACGTTGCCAATATTCTACTGGGAGAATCGTGATAACGGAATGATACTGCCGTATTGCGCCATTGAGTTGTACGATCCAGCGCTGTCGAAAAGCATTGAATATGTTCAAATTGTGATACAATGTTGTGCGATAATCATTTTTGTCGTCCTTTGGTGTCATAATCATAATCGAACGGTGAGTTCGGCCGATTTATTCATTGGAAGCAAATTTATGTTCACTCTTCAACCTCTTCAGTTTTTTTTAAAGTTCACTCTTGAGTTTTTTAAAATGAAATTTGCTATTTTTCGAATTGTATTCGTCATATCAAACCGTTCGGTTAAGAGCAAAACTCCTCAGTAATTTCACCTACATTGCACTGATTTCACCTACATTGTCATACCTCATTCGGTTTTATTGTTCTTCGTTTTGAGAAGAACAGGTTGCAACTACAACAATGAATCATAGCTGGAACAAAACAATGTCTCTTATGCGTTCATTGAACTCATTCGTGATTTATATAAATTTTAAGATGTTGAAATGAAACAGTACAATTTTGTAGCAATGCAGAAAAGAGTCAACCAAGAGTACGTGCAATAGATCTTGGATAGCAATACTTTCAGGTGGAGCAGTGTCCCAACGAGAATGTTCTTAGTATACGATATCAGATTCGAGAGAATATCGCCACTACAAAGTTAATGGCACCAGTGGTGTTGCTGAATGCTTTGTTCATGGCTTCTATCACGCTTCTCTATGTTATTCTGCTACCAGACAACGAATTCTACTCGCACATCGATGATTACATGCGGAAGGTTGTTCAATACAGTCTATTCGCCGAGATGCAGGTAACCGTAAAGCATCAATTTCTTCTTAAACACAAATCAAAGCGATTTCAATGGATCAAAACATCATTTAGTTCAACTTACCGAAATTATTATCGACCAGCACTATTGAAAATTTTATTTGTATTGTTCACATATACACAAAGCAGATTCGGGATTATTCAAGTTCATATAGGTTCCCTGAATATCTGATTTCGAAATGAGTGGGGAATTATACAGCGAATTCTTCGGGACATTTCGAAGAAACCGCTAGAAACATTCCTTGATGTTAATACACCGTCAAAAATGCTGGCATGCATTGTGCTAGTGTTCAATTCCATCTCAATAAAGATGAATATCTGATTTAGTACTCAATTTTGCCACTATTCACGGTTGTGCTGATTTATTCTATGGGACATTTCAATGCACATTTACGGCAGTCGTTGGTGCACTTATTGGGTATCGACCGATGTGTATCGAAACACTTTAATGTGGTCGACGTGACTCCCGAAGAACGTGTGAGACAGCTGTATTTCGATCAGTTAGAACACCAATGGAATCATCCAGTTCGTAACCCTGCTACACCACCCCACTCTCAATGTCAGCAACAAAGCTGCAAAAAGAGCGAACGAGCCAGTGTATATACCGCACGAAATTGAGTATTATGCCGCTTAAATCACAAATTTTGAAGCTGATCAGACACTCTTTCCACAGTAATCTTATCACCTTAACGAACTTCATCCGTAAGCATGTGTGGTATTTAGACGTAGAACTTACCTATCACCAGAAATCAG